ACAAATAAAGACTGATGGAGGTGCCAGGGAGTGTCCTCATTTTTTCCATGTAAGTAGTGTGTTTCCATTAAATATATTGGGAATAGAGTTGATTGCCCTCCTAGTGAAAGATCAGAAGAACAGAACATAAGAAGAAAAAGAACTTGAGTATAGGCACTGTGTACCTTGACTTAGACCCCTCAGGCAGCCAAAGATCTTGGCTGGTCTTACAGGGTCTGCTTTCTGAAGCTGCCTGACAGAACATCTGCTGTCTCATGAATGCACTGCTTGGAAGGCTGAATTGTCCAGATCCTAAACCAAGGATGAGGAATTGGTTTAGGATCTGGACACTTGTTGTTGAACTACAACTTCCAGCAACCCTCACTATTTGGCATTTTAATCCCCCGCCCTGCAGCCTTGGGGGGTGGGTTGGAAATTTACATTCAGCAACATACATAATGACCCAACTTTGTTGTAACCCATGACAATGAATTGACACTGAGGAAGGAGGATGGGGAATGAATTATATGAGGGATACCTGAAGTTGGGACTGAAGCATGGAAGGTTGGGTGTGGTGGAAAGATGAGCCAGTGAAAGGATGAACCCATTCTTGAGTTATATTTTTGACTATGAGTCACACTTGAAAAATTCATATTTTCTGAATAAAATTGGAAAGAAATCTAGATTGTTGTGAAGTGTAAAATAAACAAGGCTCAAGTTAGGGATCACCAAACAAATACTAATAATACTATCTATAATAATACTATATATAAATTGCTAAATAAATAAATCTCAGAAAGATTTCAAGTAGAAGTAAGTCCTAGTAGGGAAATGTTTTATGGATTTTTTTTTTCATGTAGAGTTGTAGGGTCATGTATGGAAACAGATTTAATTTAATCATTATATCAGGGAAGTGAACCCCTGTTGCATGTTTCATAAATGCAGGGCACTTCTATATTTTAGCATAGATTGCATTGGTGTGCTTAAATGCAAAAAAAAAAAAACAACTTGAAATGTAGTCCTCCTTAAAGTTCTGGGCCATTTAGTTTTAATTAAAGTTCTGCCTGTTATGCAAAGTGCTTTTTAAATATTTGTAGGTTTTGTCTCCAATAAAGACTTGAGAACTTACATTATCCTTGAGTTTATTTTGCAGGAGTGTATTATTCCAAAAATTATTTTCATAAAATGATTAAACGTTAGCCAGTATTTTAGTACTGAAGGAAATATTCAGCAATCATTTTGCCTCCTATAAACTATTTTGTTTACTATTTTGACTGAGCTGTAATTATTCATTTGTGTGTGTGTGTGTGTGTGTTTGTAGAAAAAGAGGAACTTTGCTTTCACAAAGAAAAATGCAAGCAAAATGCAGAGAGCAACAAGAGTGAACACATATATACATTCCTCTTATTTCTACATTACCTTCCCTCTTCTTGCTACTATTTTCCTTTTTTTTGCCACCACAATCTTCAAGGTCACCTGCCCAAGCTCGCATGTAATGGTCCAGTTTGTGAAGACATTTGTGCTTTTGCTTACAGTGTCAGGGTTCCAAGTTTGATGTGGTGACATTTTACATTCTTACCAAGAAAATCAAATTGCCCAAATTAAGGAAGTTCATGGCTCTTCTCTTCCACTGACCCACCATTTCACATTTTATTTTTACATTTTATTTTTCTAACTCTGCTGTTGAATATTCCGCATTATGTAGCTTTACATGGGTACAAAGCATCAGACTCCTTCTGTATTCAGAAGAGAAGCAGTATTTATCATGCTGCAGTGTGATAAACTCCTCCTACTTCTATAAGTCATTTTATCAGAGAAGGGCTGCAACTTCACGAAGGCCAATTTAGGACTAATTGCTGTAAACATGGTCATACTTCACTATGCAGCAGAAATGGGAAATCAATATAAAACAGTTGCGCACCACCTATGTCAATATACTCTAGGGAGAAAGATTTAGCACTTCATCCTATCCTGTTCATGGACTGCTCTCTCATTCTAATAACTCCAAAAACCAAGCCATTAATCTTTCCTTACATTTAGCTTTATTATATCCAAGAACATGCATAAGAATTGAGTTAGTTCTGAAAATATAATTAAGCAGCAGCAATTAGAGCTTTAATAGTCATTAGGTTTTACAGGATTATTGATGCTCATTAAGAGAGCCTGTAAGGCAACCTCTACCAGGCTGATACCTTCCAGATGTCTTGGACTTGAACAGCACAGAATTCTGGAAATCTGTCCCCTCTTATCAGGAGGGTAGCAGCGTGGGGAGGACTACTGCTCAGTAAATTGGATTTCCCTCTGCTTTCAAGAATATAAAAGAGTTTGTGTATTGCATATGCAACTCAAAAAATATCAGGAGGAAAACAGAACATTTGCCATGGTAAGAACATCTGGTTTTAGGGAATCATACCTCTTGGTTACTACTAATGGTTACCGAAAAAGAAAGGGAAAAAAAAGGTGGTCAATGTTGGGATGAATGGTTTAACATAAACCAGGGGTAAATAACCTTTGGAACATCACATATTGCTGTGCTGGAATTTCTACCATTGGTACCAATCATACTTCCCAAGAAAGCTGGGAAATTGGGAGATCTGTATTGTTACAAATTGCCTCCCACTGAAATTTGAAGCCTGCTGCATCATTTAGTATAATCCTCTTATCATTCTATAAGACAAGACTGGGAAACCTTTTGTACCAGAGGCCACACTGAAAAGACCCACAGTGTGCAGGGCAACGACACCATGAGCCAAACATTTCTATTTTATCCTGGGTTTGAAGAGTTTCTCTTACTGTTTTTGCAATTAGGTTAAGTCTATTTTAGGACTTAATGCATAGAATTCAAGAGTTTTCTGCTTCCAAATGGTGGAGAACCATGCCACCAATTTTCAACAATTGGGAAAAGGGAGGTCCTGCAAAATTAATACCACTTATCATTACTGTCAACTGAGTGAGCTGATTTGCCTAAATCTATTTAGTAAATCACTGGCTGGATAAGGTTCAAACTGAGGCCTTCCTATTCTGAAGTTCAACTGCTGAGTCCTCTATGCTATTTCATAGACGTTGTCTACATGCCACAGAATTTTCTTTGGGATTCACTTCCACAAATGCAGTATTAGTCAAATGCTAACTTTAATTCTGAAATGGCATTAAAAACATAATCATGGAATAAAAAACCTCCTGGTCTCCAGGAAGCTGTTATTGGAGACCAACAGCAAGTCTGAGCTTTCAAGGCAATAGGTTGCCCAGATTGGACAGAACATGACTTCATCCAGCAGGGTAGTTCTCATAATCCTGAGGCTGTAAAGAAATAATAATAATAATAATAACAACAACAACAACAACAATTGTTGATAAGAAAGACAAAAAAGTCTGGATTGTGGACATTGCAATACCTGGAGACAGTAGAAGAGAAGAGAAAGAATTGGAGAAAATTACAAAATACAAAGACCTGCAAATAGAAATAGAACTACTGGGGCAAAAGAAAGCAAAGATAGTGCCAATAGTAATAGGTGCCTTGGGTGCAATCTCATAACATCTGGAGCACCACTTGAAGACCATCGGCATTGACAAAATCACCCTCAGTCAATGGTAAAAGGCAGCTTTACCTGGAACAGCTTATATCCTGCGACGATACCTTTAACACCATCAAACAACATCTGTCTATCTCAGGTCCTTGGGAAGGTGGATAAAAATGCCAAATCCAGTCTAAACATCTGGCTGACTGTGCGACCAACAATAAT